TCAATAAAAAAAAAAAAAATAATATATTTTTTTTTATAATACAAAAATATCAAAACAAATATTCACTTATTTGTATCAAATAGACAACATTATATAAAAATGATTTTATTATTAATCGTCGGTCGAAGTAAAATTTACTCATTGACACAACGACAATAGTCAATCAAATATAAATTTAAAATTCATGTCTTTATTTTTTGATACGTGAATTAAATCGTTCAAATAATAATTTGTTTGACTTGCCATTTTGTATTATATATATTATTTTTTATAATATAATAATTCAACTTATTTCAAACGACATCAATATATATTTTTTTTATTATTATTATAAAATATTATTTGATGAACGTTCATTATTTCGCTTAAATTATTCAAATTATGAATAAAAAGCAGTTTTTATATTATAAACGACCCTCAGCCAGGCGTGGTCCGGGAATTGTATCCGTGGACCGCAATGTGCGTTCGAAATGTCGATGTTCATGTGTCCTGCAGTTCACAATATGACGCGCAATTAGCTGCGTTCTTCATCGACCCACGAGCCAAGTGATCCACCGTTCAGGGTAATCATTTTATATTTTTAATATTTTGTTTCAAAATTCGATAGTCCGGTTTTGATAGGACAAGATAATAAAAAAAATTTATTTTTATTAAACTTGCTTCAAAGCGGTTTTGGTACAAATTGATAAATGTAACAATTTGTACCGGCCAGCCGATACGCTAACGTTTGATTAAATAAATAAATATTAAAACAAACGCGCGTAACACTAGCATAAAAGTGCCATTTAAAGGCGCCGGGCGAAAATTCATTTAAAAACCACAGAACATACAATTTATACATAAAAGTATTATTGTATGGTCCTTTACAAGGTTACCACGGCAGACACTTTATTGGCCAGAACAGTAAACGAAACAAGCGTTTATACTGACGGCTCGTTCAAAAATTTATTATTATTATTTTTGAAAACAACAAAACAAAAAATATTTTGTGTTTTCAATTTTATTGTAAAACAGACGATGCTTCGAGGAGCATACATTTTAACTGTAATACGTTAATGATCCTTCCGCAGGTTCACCTACGGAAACCTTGTTACGACTTTTACTTCCTCTAAATGATCAAGTTTGGTCATCTTCCCGGCAACATCGGCAATGCCGAAACACTGCCGCGCACCAGTCCGAAGACCTCACTAAATCATTCAATCGGTAGTAGCGACGGGCGGTGTGTACAAAGGGCAGGGACGTAATCAACGCGAGCTTATGACTCGCGCTTACTGGGAATTCCTCGTTCATGGGGAATAATTGCAAGCCCCAATCCCTAGCACGAAGGAGGTTCAGCGGGTTACCCGGGCCTTTCGGCCAGGGAAGACACGCTGATTCCTTCAGTGTAGCGCGCGTGCGGCCCAGAACATCTAAGGGCATCACAGACCTGTTATTGCTCAATCTCGTGCGGCTAGAAGCCGCCTGTCCCTCTAAGAAGATTTATTTGTACGTTGGTAGTAAAAACCCACCGACCGAAGCCGGGGGCCTTCAAGATACCATAAGGTACGCCTATTTAGCAGGCTAGAGTCTCGTTCGTTATCGGAATTAACCAGACAAATCGCTCCACCAACTAAGAACGGCCATGCACCACCACCCACCGAATCAAGAAAGAGCTCTCAATCTGTCAATCCTTCCGGTGTCCGGGCCTGGTGAGGTTTCCCGTGTTGAGTCAAATTAAGCCGCAGGCTCCACTCCTGGTGGTGCCCTTCCGTCAATTCCTTTAAGTTTCAGCTTTGCAACCATACTTCCCCCGGAACCCAAAAGCTTTGGTTTCCCGGAAGCTGCCCGCCGAGTCATCGGAGGAACTTCGGCGGATCGCTAGCTGGCATCGTTTATGGTTAGAACTAGGGCGGTATCTGATCGCCTTCGAACCTCTAACTTTCGTTCTTGATTAATGAAAACATTTTTGGCAAATGCTTTCGCTTCTGTCCGTCTTGCGACGATCCAAGAATTTCACCTCTAACGTCGCAATACGAATGCCCCCATCTGTCCCTATTAATCATTACCTCGGGTTTCTTAAAACCAACAAAATAGAACCGAGGTCCTATTCCATTATTCCATGCACAGAATATTCAGGCAAATGATAGCCTGCTTTAAGCACTCTAATTTGTTCAAAGTAAACGTACCGGCCCACCTCGACACTCAATGAAGAGCACCGCGATGGGATATTAGTTGGACCGCTCCCGAAGGAGCTAAGCCCACCGGTAGGACGTCTCACGAGCATGTCAGTTAAACACCGCGAGCGGCGAACCGACAGCGTGCGACACAGATTCAACTACGAGCTTTTTAACCGCAACAACTTTAATATACGCTATTGGAGCTGGAATTACCGCGGCTGCTGGCACCAGACTTGCCCTCCAATTGATCCTCGTTAAAGGATTTAAAGTGTACTCATTCCGATTACGGGGCCTCGGATGAGTCCCGTATCGTTATTTTTCGTCACTACCTCCCCGTGCCGGGAGTGGGTAATTTGCGCGCCTGCTGCCTTCCTTGGATGTGGTAGCCGTTTCTCAGGCTCCCTCTCCGGAATCGAACCCTGATTCCCCGTTACCCGTTACAACCATGGTAGGCGCAGAACCTACCATCGACAGTTGATAAGGCAGACATTTGAAAGATGCGTCGCCGGCGCGAAGACCGTGCGATCAGCACAAAGTTATTCAGAGTCACCAAAGTAAACGGTGGACGAGCAAAGCCCGCCACCGATTGGTTTTGATCTAATAAAAGCGTTCCTTCCATCTCTGGTCGGAACTCTGGTTTGCATGTATTAGCTCTAGAATTACCACAGTTATCCAAGTAAATGTGGGTACGATCTAAGGAACCATAACTGATTTAATGAGCCATTCGCGGTTTCACCTTAATTTGGCATGCACTTAGACATGCATGGCTTAATCTTTGAGACAAGCATATGACTACTGGCAGGATCAACCAGGGAGCTTTGAATATATATCTTTAAAAGTATATAAAATTTATATACTCTCTTAGACACTCAAGCTTTTAAATTTATTATTTTTTGTCACATGAGCGAGAGAGTATATAATGAGGAGGGTCTTTTAACACCGTAGAAACAATTTTCTCTAGCGGTGAGACGCACACACATCAATATAAAACTGCTCTCCTTATAAATTTTTTGTTTTTATTTTATAAGGGCATTTCGTTCAATATATTTTCAGATTGTATCGCCCTCATAACTGACACAAATCCGACAAGGTACTTTCAAAATCGTACTCTCATATATGATATATATAAGGTTATATATACCCAACGATAGACTTTGAAAAAGTCGTCTTGTTAATGTCATTAGACATTATATCGTTTATTATTTTTGACTATCGCTCGGAATCGAGTGAGTCGATGCTCTGTTGTTAAAGTAATATAAAAATTTCAAAATGAAAAAATATATACTTAGACGCCCAAGGCGCTCGTCACATATGAGCCATTCGGTCTTAGACACCGACTCGTGACAATGCTGTGCTTACAAGGATCCGAACCATCAAAAAAAGTGTATCGCGATTAATGGTCAAATACATTGATTCATATATAAGGAATCTTCTAAATACATAGTATTTCAATAAAGGTCGAAAAAAAAATTAAATTTTTTTTTTCAATTTTTTAAAAAAATTATTAATATATTTTTCACTACTAATTGGTGCGCATTGCTTTTACATACTATATTTTAAAGTTGTTATTTGTCTTTTAGAACTAATGATAAATATAAAGTATTTGGTGCGCATTGCTTATTTGTAAGTTCATTATAGACCATTTGATGCGTATTGCTTTTACATAAAAATATTACAGAGTTGGCATATATCATCATTTAGTACAAATAAAAAGTTTTAAAGTATTTGGTGCGCATTGCTTATTTGTAAGTTCATTATAGACCATTTGATGCGTATTGCTTTTACATAAAAATATTACAGAGTTGGCATATATCATCAATTAGTCACAAATAAAAAGTTTTAAAGTATTTGGTGCGCATTGCTTATTTGTAAGTTCATTATAGACCATTTGATGCGTATTGCTTTTACATAAAAATATTACAGAGTTGGCATATATCATCATTTAGTACAAATAAAAAGTTTTAAAGTATTTGGTGCGCATTGCTTATTTGTAAGTTCATTATAGACCATTTGATGCGTATTGCTTTTACATAAAAATATTACAGAGTTGGCATATATCATCAATTAGTCACAAATAAAAAGTTTTAAAGTATTTGGTGCGCATTGCTTATTTGTAAGTTCATTATAGACCATTTGATGCGTATTGCTTTTACATAAAAATATTACAGAGTTGGCATATATCATCAATTAGTACAAATAAAAAGTTTTAAAGTATTTGGTGCGCATTGGTTTCCTATAATATGTATATTGCAGAGTTGGCATTTATCATTTAGTACAAATAAAAAGTTTTAAAGTATTTGGTGCGCATTGCTTTCCTATAGTTTATATTGCAGAGTTGGCATTCATCATTTAGTACAAATAAAAAGTTTTAAAGTATTTGGTGCGCATTGGTTTCCTATAATATGCATATTCAAGAGTTGGAATTTATCATTTAGTTCAAATAAAAAGTTTTAAAGTATTTGGTGCGTATTGCTTTCTTATAATATGTATATTGCAGAGTTGGCATTTATCATTTATGTACAAATAAAAAGTTTTAAAGTATTTGATGCGTATTGCTTTCTTATAATATGTATATTGCAGAGTTGGCATTTATCATTTAGTACAAATAAAAAGTTTTAAAGTATTTGGTGCGCATTGCTTATTTGTAAGTTCATTATAGACCATTTGATGCGTATTGCTTTTACATAAAAATATTACAGAGTTGGCATATATCATCAATTAGTACAAATAAAAAGTTTTAAAGTATTTGGTGCGCATTGCTTTCTTATAATATGTATATTGCAGAGTTGGCATTTATCATTTAGTGGTAATTAGTGAGTTTTAAAGTATTTGGTGCGCATTGCT